TGAGGGCTTTGCCACTAACTGGTCAGTGTTCTTGCGAAACAGGGGGCAGTGGGTAGTGGGAGCCACGGCACCCGGGCCGGGACGTGGAGACCAGTGAACGGAGAAGTGACCTGTGGTTTGGGGCAGGACAGTTGTCCACTTCTCTGCGAGAGAGTTGATGACAGTTTTGCCATTGAATTGTGAACACTTAAAGACAGGAGTGACCAGCGCCCGCCCTGGGGCACAGCCCCAGAGCCCCTCCCACCCTGTCAGCTGTGGCCTGGAGGCCGGGAGGTTTCTGTCCTCACAGTGGAGACCTGGCGTGGGGTGGGCTCGGGTCATCAGGCCTCAGCCTTCAGGGTCCCCGACCGCCGCGTGGAGCAGGCCTGTGGAGGATGAGGCTGCAAAGGCTGCTGGGAAATCAAGGCACCTGCCCGAGAAGCACAGAGCATAGATTTTGAGGGGCTAGGAGCTTGTCTAGTCCACCCCTGGGGCCCCCGGGCATCCTACCCACCGAGGGGACCTGGGAGCTGGTGTGGCTGAGGGAAGGAGGGTGAACCGGCCCAGGGGAGCCGAGGTCACAGGTGCGCTGTGCAGACGCCACAGCAGCTGCCCCAGGGCGGAGCCGTTGTTAGCCTGGGGCCTGGACCTCTGTCTGAGGCTGTGACTGTGGTTTCCGATAGACGCACCCTCTGGGGCATGCCCCCCTCTCCCAGGTCCCCTCTGCCTGCCCTCACAGCCCAGCAAGCACAGCTCTGAGCTCAGGCTCTCCCACTGCCATGTGGCCTTTTATAAATGTGCCCCATGTGAGTGTGTGTCCATGCTCACATATGCACACACACATGCACTTGGGCACACATGGACACACATGTGTACACACATGCACATGCACATCTGCTTCTCCCCTCCTGTCTCAGCAGGGGCCACCAGCTGTCCCCACGTGCCCACTGGAGTCTCCTGTGACCCTTTGTCCGAACTGACTCTCCTCCTGGCCCAGACACCACACCGGCCCACCCCTGCCCCCGGCGGGCAGAGGGACTCACTCATCCTCAAGGGGACATTCAGGGGCTGCCCCCTCCAGGATGCCACCCTGGTGGCCAGGCAGGATCAGGAGCCTCCCCTGCACATCCCACCGTGTCTCAGCTAGACTGTCGGCCAACACCGCAGCCCTGTGACCTGGGCTTGGCCTGGGAGGACAGGAGCCTCAGGAGGGGGTCCCTGGTTGCCCCCCAGCCTTGGCCAGCTCTCTGCCTGCCTGGGCCTACCTTGATGTGAGAAAGCTCCCGAGTAGCCCCGTTGAAGGGTGGTGGGCAGGTGGGGTTCAGGAGACCTCAGCTGGCTGAGGGATGGGTGAGTCTGCTGGGGGCAGGGTGAGTGTGGCAGGTGGGGGGCCTGTGCTCACTGGCTGGCTCAGGCCATCAGCCAAGACAACAGCCTGGGTCCTCCCCTGCGTTGCTCAGTGGCCCAGCCAGAAAAGGCAGGGTCAGGCCAGCTCTGTGGGTCTCAAATTCATGTCAGCTGGGCCGGCCTTCCGGCGTACAAAGCCTCTCCCAAGGCCTGGGCCAGGGTGGCTCAGTAGAGATGTTCTGGGGGCACTGGGGAGCCAGGAAGTGACCTGAGCCCCCTGCCCCGCACCACCTGACTTGCTGATGGCACTGCGGTCCCTCCTGTGGAACCCCAGGGCTTCAAGGCTTAAGAATCCCAGGGACGGGCACTTCCGGGCCATCTTCTAGCCCCGAGACAGTCTGCCGAGGCCCCAGGTCCCTGCCAGGGCACTGGGCATTGTCCTGCCCCCGGCCCTTACCCCTTCCTCCCTGCAGGCACCTCCCACTCCTCACTATCCAGGCCGGAAATGGGCCTGCATAGCCTCCATGCCCGGCCGGCACTGGGGCCTTCCCCTTCCACCTCCTGCCCACCCTCCTTCCCCATGGCCACTCCAGCCCTCATGCCCCTCCCTCACCCTCACCCCCAGGGTGCCCCCAGCACTGCCAGAGTGGGCCTTCTAAGTGGCCGTTCTGATGGGGACACCAGCCTGCTTCTGACCCCTACTGCTACCTCTTGCCTACAGTTGGACCTGACACCCCTAAGAGGACTCAAGGCATGGGGTGAGCTGGCGACAGTGAGGGTGACCAGTGATGCCAGGGCCCTGGGGGACGCCAGAAGGCCCCCACTCGGCTCAGCTCTCAAGGGTCTGGGGACAGTGGCAGGGATAGGGCCTGGTCCACCTGCTCTGGGGCTGTGCCAGGGCATGCTGTGCAGAGCATGGGTGGCAACCCACAGGCCTGGGCTGGAATCCAGGCTCGGCGCCTGGTACCAGCTGTGAGCCTCCAGCGAGGCATGGCCCCTCTGTGGACCTCAGCGTGCCCATCTGTAAAATGGATCTGTAACAGGGTGCCTCAGCAGCAGCGCGCCTGGCACACATCCTGTCTCCCTGTGAGCGTGGGATGGGCTGCTCTGGGTTTTCTCACGAGCCGGAGCCTGTCCTGGGACTCCCCTCCCGCCTGCACCACCCACACAGCACTGTGGACACCAGCCCTGTCATGGCCAGCTGGGTCTATGAGGCTGTGCTTCCCTTCCAGGTGCCAGGCTGTGCCCGCTTCCAGATGGGATGACCGAGGCCCTAAAGACCCTGTGCCCGGTGGCCGGTGCTTATGCACCCAGGCTCCTACGCCCACTCCTGGCACCACAGGCCCCCAGAACCTGCCCTGCCCTGGGAAGGCTGTGGGCTGGAGCTGCCAGGGCCTGAGATGAGGAGGGGAGAGGCAGGCTCTGGCATCTTGAGCTGCGAGGGTTCCTCCGGGGAAAGGCGGTAAATTTGGGGGTGACACCAACCTCAGGGTCAGGGCTAACAGGATTGCCTGGGGCCTCCTTGGCACTTCGAGGGGCATATGGAGCAGTGAAGCTGGCTGGCCTGTGGAGGGGTCAAGGCCATATGGGGTCAGCACCAGATGGGCCTGGCACTCTGCCAGGCTCTGCCAGACTATGCCGATACTCACCCAGGACTGGGCTCACCCTGAGACTGCAGTGTCAGGTGAGGCCGGGGAGGCCTGGCTGTGGGACCTGCCCACGCTGCTCCCGCTCCATGAGATGGTGGGGGCACCCAGGACAGCCTGGCTCTTCCATGCCTTGTCCAAGCCCACCCAGCCAAGCATGTCTAGGGGCGGGATTGGAGGAGGGCTTCCAGGAGGCAGGGGGCATGGCGGCGTCTTCCCAGGTCTGCTGCAGAGGTGCCAGGATGGGAAGATGGCATTGTAGGTTTGCCCTTTTTAAAAATACTTCCCTCCTGGTAGCCCGGAATGCTTGTCAGGAAGGAGACCACAGAGAGCTGGGCTGGGCCATGTCCATCCCCAGATCCAGAAGCCCCAGCCAGTTTCCTTTGGGGAGCACTTTCTGCACCCCCCAGCTACGATTCCCTACCCAGCTCTTAACGTCTTGTTGAGAGCAGTGGAGCACCCACCCCACTTTACAGATGGAGAAACTGAGGCTCTGTGGTACAAGACTTGTCCGGGCCCACGCTACAGTCCGGGGCACAACCTGAGTCCAGCCTCAGCCTCCCGGTTCCTCGGGGCTCAGAGCCTCTGCCCAGGCCGGGGCCAGGCCTCGAGGCTGCCTGGGCCCAGCTCCCTGCTCTGCCTACAAGGCTGTGCAGGAAGGACGCCAGGAGGGGACTGCAGAGCAGTGACAGACCTTGTGTCGCCAGCCAGCTGGGCCCGGACAGCAGGAAGCGGCGGGTCCCGTGGGCGGGCGACCGGCATTTGCGCGGTCAGCAGAGCGGAGGCACCCACACCGGGAGGCCGGGTGGTCTGGGGGAGGGGACTGCCTGCCGCTCCTCTCCCTCCCTCACTGGCTCGGCTGCTGGGTGAGATGGGCAGCCCAGCCAGAGGCCTTGGGGGTGGCGGGGAGACAGAGGTCTGTGGGTAGAAGGAGCTTGCCAAGGTCCACAGCGAGGTGGGTGCCCGCTGGGCCCAAGGCAGCTCCCGATCGGGGGCCTTCCCTGCGCCTCCGCTCACCTGTGCAGGTGTGAGTGGACAGTCACTCAAACTGAGCCCTCCCCTGGAGCTGGGAGGTGTCTCCTGGTGGCACAAATTTGGGGTCAGCCTGGGGTTCGTGTATGGGTTCTCCCACCCACTCACTGATGGGGGTAAATCACTGATTCTCTCTGAACCTATTTTTCCATCATTCATGATGGGAAGTAACGCCTTGCAGAGGTAGGGCGGAGGTGAGGTGGCTCCTGGTGGCTCCGTCCCTCCTCTGTCCCTCCCCAGACCCTCTGCCTGGAGCTTTAGGGCACGAGGGGCACATGGGAGGGCCGGAAGGGAGCTTCCTGCCAGGAGTGCCAGCTGGGCACATGCCGCCGGAGGCTGCAGAGGGCAGTCCTGGGGGTCACCAAATCTGAACCCCACCTCACCCCAAAGGTCCAGCTGCTGTTGAGGCTCTGCACTTCCTTCCTGCACCGCAAGCCTTTAGAAGAGGCTGGGGGCCAGACAGGAGGCTGGGGAATGGCGGTTTTTCCTGGGCTCTCCAGGGCCGCTTCCCCACCACAGGGTTTGCAGAATTTTCCCAGGAAGGAGAAAGGTTAGAGAGGAGGGACCAAGGTCAGCAGGAGAGAGAGCCTGAGAGAGCTGCACCCTCTGCTCTCTCAGAGGGGCTGCCCCGAAGAGCGCGGTGAGCAGCCAGGGCCCATGGGGAGCTATGCCAGGCTGTCTGGCCAAAGGGCACCCCCAAGAGGCTCAGGTGGAGTGCCCGCCCCTCCCTGCTCAGGCCTGGGTTGGGTGGAAGTGGAGACGCTAGTTCCCCTAGCTAGGCCGCTGCCCTGCAGGTGATCATGCCGGTGCGTGGCAGACAGACAGGTGGACAGAGCAGGTGCCTGGGATGGTGCCAGGGCCTGTGTGTGCCGCCCAAAGTCCTCCTGCCCTCACTGGGAGCAGGCTGAGCCGCCTCCTCTGAGAGAGCGCACCCCCATGCGCAGAGCCTGTGTGTCCCCAGGGGCTCACTCTGACCGTCTGCTCTTTCTCTTCCAGCTGCTGCTGTTGGCCACAGGCAGGCACCAGGGCCCTGAACTTTAGACGCCGTTGCTGCCCTCTCTGTCACCGGAAGCGGGGCCCTCTCCCATCCCACCCTTGCCTCACACCCCTGCCCCCGCCGGGCCGGCCCTGCCCACCGCCGGACCCTGGCATGTCAAGGCCTGGCCCGCGCCTGCCTGCCCAGCCCGCGGAACCCCGGCGGCCCCGCGAGCTAGGATGAGGGGCCAGGCCGCCGCCCCCGGCCCCGTGTGGATCCTCGCCCCGCTGCTGCTGCTGCTGCTGGGGCGCCGTGCGCGGGCGGCCGCTGGAGCCGACGCGGGGCCGGTGCCCGAGCCGTGCGCCACGCTGGTGCAGGGAAAGTTCTTCGGCTACTTCTCCGCGGCCGCGGTGTTCCCGGCCAACGCCTCGCGCTGCTCCTGGACGCTGCGCAACCCGGACCCGCGGCGCTACACGCTCTACATGAAGGTGGCCAAGGCGCCCGTGCCCTGCGCGGGCCCCGGCCGCGTCCGCACCTACCAGTTCGACTCCTTCCTCGAGTCCACGCGCACCTACCTGGGCGTGGAGAGCTTCGACGACGTGCTGAGGCTCTGCGACTCCTCGGCGCCCCTGGCCTTCCTGCAGGCCAGCAAGCAGTTCCTGCAGATGCGGCGCCAGCAGCCGCCCCAGGACGACGACCTCGGGCCCCGGCCCGCGCCGGCGGGCCCCGGCGACGACTTCTCCGTGGAGTACCTGGTGGTGGGGAACCGCAGCCCCAGCCGGGCCGCCTGCCAGATGCTGTGCCGCTGGCTGGATGCGTGTCTGGCCGGAAGCCGCAGCTCGCACCCCTGCGGCATCATGCAGACCCCCTGCGCCTGCCTGGGCGGCGAGGCGGGCGGCCCTGCCGCGGGTCCCCTGGCCCCCAACGGGGATGTCTGCTTGCGAGATGCGGTGGCCGGTGGCCCTGAAAACTGTCTGACCAGCCTGACCCAGGACCGGGATGGGCACGGCACCGCAGGTGAGTGACTGGTGGGGAGCCCTGCGGAGCGGGGAGAGGGGATGGGCGGATGGCGGAGGTGGGTGAGGGTCTTCTCTGGCAGGGCTGCCCCGGCCAGCACTGTCGTCTGGGGAGTGTGCACCTGGCACCCTCCGAGGCAGCTGCTCCATCCACCTGTGCACAGTGTGAGGACCCCTGCAGGCGTGCAGGACCTGCCCGCGCACAGTGGGTGATTGCTGAGTTTTGAAGGATGGAATGGACAGTGAGGCCTGACTTCCTCCAGGATGGGAAAGGGTCATTCTCCTGGCTGGGAGAGCGCCCGCCCTTTCTCTCTGGCATGACTTTAATGGGCCAGAGGCTGCAGGGGCCAGGGCTGAGGGCTGGGGCCTGCAGGAGTTTCTGGGGCTGTGTGGACAGGTGGGCAGATGGGCTCTTTAGATGGCAGGGAAAACCTGGGAGAGCCCTGCTCTCAGGGAGCTGCCTAAAGGAGGGAGGAAGGCTCCAGCAAGAAGACACGGGCAGCCACGCAGCGGGCAGGAGGAGAGCCTTGTACAAGAGCCAGGCAGGCCAGCCCTCACCGCGGCGGCCATTGTACGTGGAGGTCAGGGACGCCGCTGGGATCAGGGACCTTGTTCAAAGCTCTGGGAGATGTGGGGAACCTCATGCTAGGAAGAGGGCAGTGGCTTTGTGCCCGGCGAGCACCGAGCGGCAGAGGCCGGTCCTGCAGGGCTGCCGGCCTCTGGGACACTGGCTTTTCCTGCTGATGAGACAGGAAGCCTCCCTGGGAACAGGGTCCTCAGGGTCGAACCTTGTGGGGTGCAGTGGGCCTCAGTGCAGAATTTGGGTCCCTTACACACCTGGGACATGGAGACCCCTTGCTGACGGGTGACGTGTGAGAAAAAGGAGGAGGCCCAGGATTTTGGTCAGAGCATCTGGGAGGATTGGGGGATGGGAGGTTTGAGTTTGCAGCGCCAGGCAGAGCCTGACAGCACACATCAGGTGTTTGGGGTCGAGGCCAGGCTGCTACTGGAGGCCTGAGGGCCGTCCTGGGGCAGTGGGACCCTCGGGGGTGTCCAAGGACCTTGAACTCTGGGGTCAGTGAGACCTGTGGACTCCTCAGAATTTTGCGTTTAAAGGCATAAAATAGGCCACGCAGAGCTATGAAGGAAGCCAGTTACACTGCTGTCTGGTTCTACCCACGACCCGGGGCCAGGGGCCCCAGATGAGAAGCCTCTGTGAGGCCGGGAGTGGGGCTAGAGAGGCCAGGGAACAGGAGGGACGGGGTGAGGCTCAGCCCACTCCTCCAGTGGCCTGAGGAGGAGGCAGGCAGCACCCCTGGGCAGTGGGGAGCCCGGGAACCCAAGTGGTTGTCCTGTGTCAGGACAGGTGGGCACATCAGCTGCATCAGGTGCCACCAGCAGCTGAGTTGGGGGGGGGGCTGAGGACCAGCCTCCCACCAGGCAGGGTGGAGGTCACTGGCCTTGGCAAGGATGGCTTCCATGGTTTGGCAGGGACGAGCGTCTGAGGGGGACTGGGAGAGAACCAAGCAAAGTCTGGAGGGCCGTTTCAGGGAGCAGAGATGGGGCAGCTGGCAGTCTGGAGGTGGGAGGCTGCAGGAGGACCTGCCCAGCGGCCACTGCCACACCCAGCGGCGCGTCTCGTGCTGCCACTCCTGATCACTTCACCCCCTGAGCCGTGGTTCCTTCGTCGGCAGAATACCAACTGCCTTGCAGGGTGTTTCCCTCCGATTGGATAGGGTGGGAATCAGGCCCAGCCCAAGATCACTTCCAACACCGAAGAGCTGCTCGTTAGCAGCATCCGGGGCAGCAGCCCTGCCATTCCCAATAGTGCTGGGAGCAGCGTGGAGCCTGCTGGAAAGAGCTGGCGGGACAGACACATGTGATGCGTGGAGAGGCTGGGGCACCGTGTGACGCAGGTGTGGGAGGGAGCGCCACGCTTCACTCCTCACTGGGCACCTACTGAGCGCGGGCACCCTGTGGTGTAAGGTGGTCGGACCTCCCGTGGGAGATCTCATGTTATCTTGAACCCAAGGGCCTCAGTAGGGCTTTAGGCAGAAGGGCCAGATGATTGAGGTGTGAGTGCGGAACAGATGTCAGCTCCAAGGGAAGCCTGGGACAGGCTGGCGGCCGGTGCAGGATTCCGGAAGGGGCTGCCGCTGGCCTGGTCAGGCCGCTGGCCTGGTCAGGATGCTGCAGCAGCGGGAGGGAAGAGGAGGGCCTGGGGTGCCACTGATGATCAACTTACTGATGGAACGATGTGGACTTGGGCAGGGAACCCCTCCCAGGTGTCCCACCGGGAATGAGAATGTTGGCTGAGTTGGGGAAGTGGGGCTGGGGGCTGCAGGGGAGAAGAGCTGGAGATCTGGGCGTGAGCTGCCTGTGAGGCAGCCAGCTGGCAGTGCCATATGAATGGGCAGCTCTGATACCTGGAGCACCAGCACAGGGCCAGCATGGGGCAACGGATGCTTGAAAATAGCTTGTGAGCCACATATGCAGAGCCCCGGGGCCTGGGTTCAAATCCCAGCCTGACCCGGCTCGCCTGTGTCCCTGGGCCAATTCTATCAGCTCTCTCATCCCCTCAGGCCCCTCATCTTTAAAACAGGAGGAGTAAAAGTACCTTCTTTCCTAGATTGCCCTGAGCAATGAGAACTGGGGTGAAGTGTTTCTAAGTAGAAGCGCTGTTGATGATGAAATATCGATATCCTAATGTATTCTTAGGCGGGGGACTCTAGAGGGCTCCGGGAGCAGAGAGGGAGGCAGGGATGTTCCAGCAGCTCGGGGGTGCCGGCGATTCTGAGAAAGGGCATGTTTGGAAGGAAGTGGGAAGATGTGTGTTCACACGTGCGTTCAGGCAAGTATGTTGTATGTGCGTGTGTTCATGCATGTGTGTGTGAGCATGGCATGTGTATGTGTTTGTATGCATGGCATACGTGCGTTGCATATGTGCTCATGTGTATGTGTGGTATGTGTGCCCCCATGTAAGTGTGGGTGCCTGGTACGTGTGTGTGCACAGATGTGCAGTAATTATGCATGTAACATGCGTATCGAGGCTGGGCTCCGTGCAGCGACTCTGACGGAACACAGGTAAAGGCTGTGGGGCAGGGGCCGCTGGCCTTGTGAGAGGACGGCTGGAGGGCACCTCGACTCGGCTGCCGGCAACGTGAAGCAGGGAGCTTGTCATCTTGCACAGGATGGGGTGGAACGTGGTCACCCAGGCCCAGAGACAGTTCAGACTCTAGTGCCCACGCCCTGTGCCCAGAGGGCCCTGATGCTTCCAGGACCGGGGAGCAAAAGCAAGCTAGAAGTAGCCGTTTATTGAGTGTTTACTGTGTGATGGCAGCACCCGCATTTCAGCAGCCCTTGAGATAGCTCCCGTGGAGGCCGCCTCTGCCTCAGGCCTCCGCACGGCTGATCCCCCTGCCAGGAACAGTCTTCCCCAGAGGCCCAGGGGTTCCCGCCGTCCAAACCTCACACAGATGTGACCTTTCAGTGCAGGCTGCCCCGACCATCCTGTTTAAAATGGCAGCAGCTCCGGCCCCGCGCCCTGACCCTTTATCCTGCCTCTGTGTCTGCACGCGTGTTCACCTCTCAACACTGCAGAATTCCCCTTATTTGTTGTGTCCATTTCTGATTGTTCCTGCCAGGACGTCAGCAGCACAAAGCAGGCATTGCTGGTTCCCTGACATGCCCCCAGCATGTAGAACAGTACCGGGGCACAGCAGGCACTCCGTCAATGCTTGCTGGAGGAAGCCAGGCACAGGTGTGCCAAGGCAGCGGCCAGGGTCACAGCTTGTAAGTGGCAGGCTGACGGCAGAGTCATTTAACGTTACCACCGGGTGGCACCACTGGGGCTTCTGCAGCAAGCTCTGCTCAGAGCTGTGTGTGTGTGCACACATGCATGCATGAATGTGTGTGAATGTGGGTGCATGTGTGTGCGCATGCATGTGTGTGAATGTGAGCACGTGTGTGCATGCATGTGTGCATGTGAATGAGCGCATGTGTGTGTGCGTGCATGTGTGAATGTGTGCATGTGTGTGAATGTGTGTACGTGTGCATGTGAATGTGTATGTGTATGTGTGCACATCTGCATGTGTGTGCATGTGTGAATACAAGTGCGTGTGTGAATGTGTGCACGTGTGAATGTGTGTGCACGTGTGCATGTGTGTGCATGTATGAATGAGTGTGTGTGCATGTGTGGAATGCACATGTACATGTTGAGTGCACATGTGTGAATGGATGTGTGACTGCATGAGTGCATGTGTGTGAATGTGTGCATGTGTGAATGTGTGTGCGTGTGTGCATGTGAATGTGTGAATGTGAGTGCATGTGTGCGTGTATGAATGTGTGCACATCTGCATGTGTGTGCATGTGTGAATACAAGTGCGTGTGTGAATGTGTAAATGTGTGTGCACATGTGCATGCGTGTGTGTGTGAATGAGTGTGTGCATGTGTGGAATGCACGTGTGCATGTGAGTGCACATGTGTGAATGTGAGTGGATGTGTGACTACATGAGTGCATGTGTGTGAATGTGTGCATGTGAGTGCACATGTGTGTGAATGAGTGTGCACGTGTGTGCATGTGTGACTGCAGGAGTGAATGTGTGCATGAGTGTGCAGGTGTGTGAATGTTAGTGTACGTGTGCATGTGTGTGAATGTGTGTGCACGTGTGCATGAGTGAATGTGCGTGTGCATGGGCATGTGTGTGCGTGCACGTGGGTGAATATAAGTGCAGGTATGTGTGCACATGTATATGTGAATGTGTGTGCATGTGTGAATGTATATGCTCACACTTGAATGAGTGCATGTGTGCATGCACATGTGAATGTGTGCAAGTGTATGCATGTGAGTGTGCACGTGCATGTGAACGTATGTGCATCTGTGAATGACTGCCCATGTGTGCATGCACATTTATGTGTGTGAATGTGTATGCATGTGTGAGAATGTGTGAGTGCGTGTGTGTGTGAATGTGTGTGTGTGCACGTGCATGTGTGTGAATGTGA